TATATATATATATATATATATAATCCTTTCTTTTGCTGCATGTTATTTAATGATACATAGCTTTGGTTGAATGGCGAGATATAAAAACAAGAACTTAAAGTCATGTGATGTTTCAGGGACGAGCATTGTATGCAGCTGAAGCAGATCGGCTCCGTAATTGGGCCGAAGATCGGGCCCGGTTTTCTTTCACTGATGCAATGGAAATGTACACAGAAAACACTTGGTTATCAGTATTCTCACTTTCAGTTGTCTGTGCCTTCATAATTCTTTCCAGCACAGGCAACACTTTGCCTGGAACATGATGTCTTGCTGCCAATGCACGAGTGCATCTGCTTTCTGTGGACAGGCAAAATTGGTGCCTGAAATCATCAAGACAACAAATGCATCCAAATCTAAACCTAAATCATAAACAAAGTGGATCTGTTGTTTTTTTCCCACCATGTCCACCTAAACAATTATCCTTTGACACACTTAGTTGTTTGTGACATTTAGCTCGGACATTTGGTTCCCCATCTACTATGTATAGGCTGTTCTTCAATCAAGCATTCTTCATTTAGATGCTTATAGTCATAGTGTGTTACTATGTATAGCCTTCATTGAATTGTAGACTAGTGAAATCTCATATTTTCTACCCAATATATTTATTTGAATGTATGTTTATCAGGGAGCTTGAATATGAAATTTATATTGGACATTGGACAGCTCGTGTTTAATGTTATATATATTTTTTGGTCTTGCCACGGATATCTCTTAGCTCAATGGTCAAGAGATTAACTCTGTTCACGGTATTGTGACTGTCGCTAGTGTAACGAGTTCTCGTAAAGTGCATGCTGATGCTATATATACATATGAATGTTTGAAGGACAAAAAAATTCATATATTTGCAGATTTATTGAGCTGCATATGACTTGTTACAAACTTAATTATGTAAAAATACGTGAGTTTTGTGTTGGGTATGCATACCAAACAAAACATTATCCAATAACTTTTCTTAGAATGATAATTGGAGGAATATTCTGATACTAGTTTGCAATCTTGGTCAATACTCGGGATATTTTTAAGATTGCTGTCTACTGTTGTCGGGTAGCACATGTGCTCTGACAATGAATGTGGATTATTCGCATGATTGTTTCACCGATCGAATAATTGGAGCATGTGGTTCTTATCTAGCAATCCCTTATAATATTATGGTTCCCTAACCCGCATAAAAAATTTCAATGTCAATGATTATATATATCTTTACAACGAAGCTGATTGGCCAAGAGTAAGGGCAATATGATGGTTCATCCCTCACTAAAGGAAGCATAAATGGGCCTTAAAAGTTAGGTTTTGTAATAGATTAATTTGTGTTGTGCTCTTTTTATTCTATTTAGTTCACTATTAAAATTAATTTTATACATCATACACATTTTATTGTGAAATGCGTTGTTGAGTTATTATTGTTACTATATTACAGTAGCAAAGAATGTATCAATTTTGCAGATTATAATATTTGTTGGAAATCTGATTAACCATCTTCTTTAGTGATGTGTCATCTCTTAACTTAATTTCAATTGGATTAACGACTTGTTGGTTGTTGAGAGTTGTGATTAATTTGATTACAAATTTTAATTGGATTTCTATCAAAATCTAAAAGAAACATACTTAATTTTATATGAGGGGTAAGAACTTGATGGAGTTTTGAAATTTAATAAGTATTCATATACAATTGGTGGGAATTTGAGAAGCTAAAGAGAATAAAAGTGTATAAGAAATTAGAAGTTGTATTTGAGTGTTGCACTGTTTAAACTTCTTTTCTTTTGGTGCTTCGTGTGAAAGAAACATTGGGAACTATAGTGTCGTTTATTCAAGAGTATTGAAGGACATGGGTGAAGAAGAATTGATGGAATTGTATGACCTTAACCATTGGACGAATTGGGCCTCCGTTTCAAAGAGTGGACAAGCCCTGGTTGATGCAAACTTACCTGGCAGATGCTATTGGACAAAAGAGAGAAAAATATGAACGAAATGGAAAATGGAAAAACAAAATAGGGAAATAAAAAAATAAAAAAAAACGTCTTGGAGTCTTGGAGACTTCACATGGAATAGTAGTATGACATAATAATGTATTGAGGGAAATTGAACAACACACATTCTAACACACTTTCCTTAGTCTCTTTTGTTGGTTAAAAATTATTAAAAATCACAAGATTAGAAAAGAAAATTATTAAATAAGATGTAAAACACACCAAATTTTATATTTTTCAATAAGTTTTGGCAAATGAAAAAGAATGCATTCTTAACGTTTCTCATATGTAAGTGGGAAGTAATCTTGATGTTATAAATTTGTTTAGTAGAATTAAATTATATCCAAATCCTTGTACTTAATGATATCAAAGTTTATTTTAATGATTATCTACTTGTTAAGTTGTTTTTTGTTGGGTAAAAACCTCTTTTCGTCCCTTATATTATTTAATATTTTCAATTTAGTCCTACTTTAATTTTTGGTTTCAATTTAGTCCTCAATAATTAAAATCGTTGCAATTTGGGACTTTCGTCCAAATGATTTAAACGGAGTTAACTGGTGGCCACGTGGATGCTAAGTGAATGTCACGTAGATGCCATGTAGGTAGATCAAAAAATACTTGAATACACCTGGAACCTGAACGGTCCGTTCTGAAACCAGAACGACCCGTTCTGGTTACATTATTGATGTGTAAAATTTGAACCTGGAACGGGCCGTTCCAGGTCCAAAATTAACACATCAACAGTGTAACCAGAACGGGCCGTTCTGGTCCAGAATTTTGTGAAAAAAAACCAAAGTACAAAGCATTTTTTTTAGGAAAAATACAAAGCATTTCAAACACTAGATTTAATAATATTGTTAATGAGGATTAATAACTTCAATTGCTAAACATTTGGGCTATATACAGTATATCATTAAGGATGATGCAGTGTATCACTAAGGACAATGATAACAAGTTTTATTTCATTGTTAGTCAAACTGGAGTGAACTACTTACTACCAAATTGACACTATATAGTCAAGGATAAAACAAAACAGTGTTTTTCCTTAAAGTCATTGACGATGTACCCCAACAATAGCAACTTGTTTTTGAGGAGATACCCCTAAACCCTGAATTTTATTTTCAATTTTTGAAATACATTGCGACATTTTAGTCAAGATTTTGAACTGGATAAATTCAAATCAAAGAAATATTTTAGAAGGTCTTATCTTATTTGATTTTTTTTTTTAGTTTTATTCATAAATGAATATTAATTTATTGTATTTTTATTTATTATATATTTATTAATACAAATATAATAAAAAAATATATAATAAAAAGCATGACGTTCTAGAACGGGCCGTTATAAATTTAGAACGAGCCGTTCTGATTTCTGGATTTTTCACGAATTTTGGCGTCCACGTGCGCATCCACGTAGATGCCACGTGACCAATAATTAATTCCGTCTAAATCATTTGGATGGAAGTTCTAAATTGCACTAATTTAAGTTATTAGGGACCAAATTGAGACAAAAAATTAAAGTGGGACTAAATTAAAAATATTAAATAATGTAAGGGACGAAAAGAAATTTTTAACCTTCTTTGTTTGATTTGATATCCTATATTCTTAAATAAAATTAAATAATTATATATATATAATAAAATTTCTAAAATTAATTGATAACATTTTGTATAATATATTTATATTAATATTTTTTATTTATCTTGAACAATAATTAATAAAAAATTTATACCCAAGCCATTTGGCTTATCTTGTGGGGCAAAAAGGATTGACATAAATATACATGAATGGTACTTTGTTGGAGTCATGTGAAAGTAGGGGTGAGCAACGGGTGGGTTTGGTCGGGTTCGGGTGAAAAATGTCCAATCCATTGTAAACCGACTTTGAAAAAATGTGATCCATATCCGACCGACTGAGCTTTCGATTTGAGGCGGTTCGGGTTGAAACGGATTCGGATTTAAGCGGGTGGGTATAATCGGGTTTGAATTTTTTTGTAGACCAATTTATCTTAACGAAGATGAAGCTTAAAACGATAAAAAATATTTTTAAAATAGTGTATAAAAATAGAATGAAGGTGACAATAGATGGTGTAAATAGATTCGTAGTTGAAACATTTACAAACTAAAGAAGCAAAAATAAAAGATAACAAAATTCATAGTTGTTACATGGAAAAGAAATATAAAGTTAGATTACAAAATCATAAGAAATCACAGTCACACAAAATGTACTCAAAATGGAGATAAGAAGATGGAAAAGAAAGACAAAGAAAGAAGCAAAAAGATAACTCTAAAAATGGACTAGTGTGTTGAGAAGTTGAATGAGGAAGGAGAAGACAAAATAAATATCTAAGTTATGAGAAAAAGGAAAAAAATAAGTTACAAATTGATGGCTATATTATACTTGAAATAAAGACTTTTAAGTTTGGACCATTGTTGTTTAGTTATACAAAAGTAATAAAAATTTAAACTTATCTCATTTTCGGTTGGGTTCGGTTTTTGGCGGGTTTAAAAATTCAAAACCGAATCCGCCCAATATAACCCGTATAAAATCAAAATTTTAACCCGATTTACCCATAAGACCCGCCCGAACCCACCCAAAAACAATATTTTTTATCGGGTTTTTCGGGTTCGGTTCGGGTGTCGGTTTAATGCTCACCCCTGTGTGAAAGTGAATGGCACGTTGAATGACTGGACAACATTTTGGTGATTTTGATTTTTGATTTTTGTGTTCATCTCAATTCCGCTAATCACTGCTGAGTTGCTTTCCGTGGTCATCAATGTCATTTGGGAATACTGCATCTATCAAACAGTTGGAATTCGATGGATGTACGAATAAATTAAGCATTTTGTTGGACCCTCCACCTTTTTGGACTTCTCCTTAACTTTCAAATCATTCCATCAGATTTTTTTAAGCTGACCCCTATTTACAAATCAATTTTAGTTAGTATAGTAATACTATTTATAATACCATTTTATAATTATTATAGAAATCTCAATCACGAGATTATATTAATAACAATTATAGTACATGACATTAAAATAATAAATTTATTGATATAATATAATAATAATAATAATAATAATAATAACCATATATATTCAACTATTGTTTGTTCAAATAAATCAAACTCAAATTTTTTAAGAAAGGTATCAAATTTAAACCTCAAAAAAATGATAAAATTAATTGATAGTCTGCACTACTATCATGATGATCCAAAAAAAAAATATCATTTTTTAAAAAATAAAGGGTATAGTAAACATACATCGCTATAAAATAAAGATATTCTAACAACATTACCACTTCCTAAGCTTATCTATCATTTTTCATACGCCAAGGTATTATTAAAAAACAAAGTACAAAGAGGCATAAGAGGACTAGACCAAGGCTCATGTTAGAAATCAGCAAACCCTAAAATTAGGCCACCCACAACAATTGTGAAAAAAAGGATTTCCTAAAAAAAAGGAAACACATTTCATCACTAAATGAAATTTGCTCAATTTCTCAAACTTAATCTACAACTAGTTAGTCAATCTACATTGATTACCTTCTCGAAAAATATGGAATGAGAAAAGTTGTGTGGTGAAACAAATATGTAGACACATTACCCAACAACTATTTTATGAATATTAAAGTGTATTAATTTAGCTATCAAATTAATGAGTTCACAAGGTTTTACATAATTTAAAGATTAGTTAGATTTTATCAACTAATTAAT